GAAACCAAAAAACCACCGGGCTTTTTGGGGCCCCCTGGGGCCCTTAAAACAAACCCCCCCGGGGAAAAAAAAAAAAAAAAAAAAAAAAAAAAAATAGTGAACCTCTACAAGTACTGTTCATCCGTGGGTGCAATTACTTAGATGTTTGAAGGCCACGTTCATCACTTGGAATATTTACACCAGCCAGCATGCTCTTCTGGAAGGAGATTACTTTGGTGTCGAACGCGTTCTAATGCTAAATGTCCAAATCAAACCCAGAACACTAGCAAAAGCAAAAGTGTACCATAATCCACTGTGAGATGAGAGACGTGCTGACAAGGAGTTATTACTCTAAAAGGAGGATAAGAAGACAGATTACCAACAGTTTTGGAAACATATTATGTGTTTTGATAAAACTAAACTTCAAATGTTTGGGCATTGTGATAAAAAATTATACCTGGAGCAAAGAACAGAGCTCGCAAGCCTGAGGACACGATCACAGCTCTGGAGTTCAGGGGTGTGTAAGGAGGGATTGGTGCACTTAGCAACATGAAGTAATAAACTGCCAACTTAAAGCGTAAAGCTGTGCAGTAGGTAGTTTTTATAAAACCAATATGTGCTTTGCATATTTGTTAAAACTATCACTATGTCCTAGACAGAACTAAGACACTCCTCCTGGCTACGATTGGTTGTTGCTGACCTGGAGCTGTGTATTTCTGCAGAGGGCAGTAAGAACACAAAGAGACGGCAGAGGAGCTCAATGTTTTTCATTATGATTATCTGTCTCATATTATGATGTCACAGCATAGTGACAGTTTTAATAAATGCGTAAAAAAAAAAATTATAAAAGTTACATACTGCAGCTTTAAGGACAACAAAATTAAAGTTTTGTCCATTACAAAGCCTCAAATCTCAAATCGGGAAAGTTGAATGTGAACAAGGACGCCTACAAACCGGACGCAGTTACAGCAGTTCTGTCAGGAGGATTGGGCCACGATTCTCACAAACTACTTTGAGAGGGTTATGGAAAAATATCCAAAACATCCTGAGAATCAAATTACAAAAATATTGCCGAAGAAACAATCCAACCCTGAGCAGAATAGGTGCAGAGCCTGGTGTTGTTAGTTATCCAAGCATTTTATGACTTTCAAACACACTCGCTCAAAGTGTGATGTTTTCTTTCAGTTTGTTTAGTGTCCAACGGATATATTTTCAATCAGTTCGATTTACAACCACGTGTTACGTAAACTTTTAGGATTTACAACTCGTGGATGTGGTGCTTTACTGCTGGCAGCCTTTCAATTACAGCGTGCAGATCTACAGGCTCAGGAAGCTAACCTGACATCTGTTATACCTACCTATTTATCTCAATATTCCTGTCTTTAGCTAAGCATAAAATACTGTATATGTGAAAAAAAAACAAACAAAAAAAAACATTTATTTTCGACTAAACTTAGAAACAGCATGGTGCAATTTATATTTATAAAAAGTAAACAGAATTTCTGTCTACAAATTAAAGGTATTACGAAGGAACTGACGATTAAAAGAAAAGAAACTACACAAACAGCACAACAAATAAGCAACAACTCCCTTTTTGCATTTGCGAGCAAACTACCCTTTTGAACACTTCACCTTACTCACAGCCATATCAGCCAAACATACCTCATTAAGTTGACACATTTTGTTCTGGGTTGTAAGTCTCCCCCTAATGTTGTCATCCAATCCATTAAACAGTCATTCTTTCTTTTTCTCTCCATCTATCTTCACTTAACCTCCGTATGCTCTCTGGAAACCGGCTGACACTGTGCGTACCACAACAACGGCTCTGCTGGGTTTTTTTTTTGCTATGGTCTGGGAACGATGCTGATCACCATGTTCTCTTCTGGGTGAGTGGAAAATGGCTAGGAACAGGGTTTTATGTTCTAATGCCGGGCTTGCACATGCTCCCTGAGGCACGGTGGATGATACCGGTTTCCAAATATTGCTCTATTTTTCACAGATATATGCATCCCCTTTGCACAAGTTTGTCGTGCCCCTTGGAGTTGTTTGCATTTTGAGACACTAAAACCAAAAAACCTACAGAGTATTTTGTTGAGGTTGTATGTAATAAACCATATGGTTTTGAAGTCGCTTTACAATTCTAAACCTGTAGAAGTGTGGCCTGTAGTTGTATTCTGTCCTTCAAAGTCATTGATTTTTTTTATGTCTCTACCATCTCTGAACACCTAGAGACTTATATTTGTCTATTCGTCTTTGCAAAATAACTAAAAAAAAAAAAAAACTCCATCAGATTGGATGGAGAAAATCTCAGACATTGACTTTTTGTGTTTTGCTACCTGTTCCTTCATAGAGTTTAGGTAAAAACTTGAATTAGGCCCTTCTTACAATGGAATACCGCTCTGATCTAACTTTCTGCTCAGCTCTCAAAGTCCTCTGCAAACAACAGGTTTTCTTCCAAGGAGACTCGTCTGTGTTTTTATCTTCCCATAAGCATGAGCATCCCAAAAGTTACAATACAACAACCAGAATGAATCTATGAAGAGATGTTGTGTTCAGGGTCATGCGCAACATTAGTTTTGGATTTAACATGAAAAAACACTTACAGTTTCTTGACCTCACCGGAGCACCTTCTTCTACAACGTCCTGTCTGCTACGCTGCTTATTGCAAACCACGGACTTGACTTTTTATGGTTTTATTCTTTCCTCATCTCCATAAAGATCAGATTTATGAAGTCAACGGTTAATACTAGTTTTATCGGGACATCAGATGGATGGCCATGGCTTGGCAGGTTTTTTTTTTTTTTTTTCTGGTTTTTGGATTATTTATTGAACAGTACTTTCCTGAAACATCCACAGCTCTAGAAATGGCTTTATAGCCCTATTTAAAACTTCCCTACAACCTGATCCCTGATCTGCTGAGCTCCTTGGGTTTTCATGATCCTATTTGTTCACTAATGTTCTTCTGCATGGCCTTGATTTATAATTATATGAAATTACACACAAAAAGTATCATTTTTATCAATTAGGTGGCAATTAGGTGCAGTAGTTTTTCCTCTCCACTATCGCTGCATGCATGCTTTGTATGAAAGATTGCTATAAAGTCAACTACTTTGTATACAATGCAAGCCATTGTCTACGGTCGCTAAATGCTAATGCTAAAGAAAAGAATGCTGCATATCCAGGGATACTTAGAATATACACATGAATTGAAATAGTATTTTTTTTTTTGTAAAGTGCCTCAAGACATTTGCTATGAATTGGCAACGTATAAGCTGAATTGAATTGAGTAGAAAGGGCTGAATCCCAACACATGCCACCCTTGTTGCATTTCCATAAAAGAAAATCTAAAATATATTTATGATTTTTCTGAAAATATGTGTCACTCTACCACAAAAAAAAAAGAAAGAAAAAATCCCAATGAAAATACATTAATGGCAATTGTTGGGATCCCAATTAAGAACTAGCACTCTACTTCATCTTTCTTTCTAATACATAAAAACCAATCCTCGCTTTGCAACTGAGTAAGAGGCCAAACGCTCATCCACTGGGCTGACATGATGACGGCCTACGGAGAGCAATCACAGCTCTTTCAACACTCCACCGAGAGCGCCAGGAGAAATCCTCCACAAAGTCTACAAAGATACTTTATTATAACTTTCTTTTTTTTTTTATGGATTTTAAATGTCACTTCCATGTAAAGCTAAAGGCACCACATTTTTTCGGAAAAGGAAAAGCAATCATTCAGGAATGTATTGTTTGTTTGTATTCCAGACCTCAGCCTTATTCAGCTTCTGCCCAGTCCTACAAAAAAAAAAAAAAAAGAGAGAAAAGAAAATCCACTTTTTACTGCTACTTTTTAGTGAAGCTATTAAAAATAATCACGATAACGATAATAATAATTAACAAAAAAAAAAAAGTGCCCTTCCACAGAAATCTAACGACACCATTTCTCATCCGTGACCTGTCAGAACAGAGGTCCTGTTGTCTGCCATTAACCGAGCGCTGCCCAACCACAGCTGAATATTAATGGGAGTGTGTGCATTTAATTCACAAACCCCGATCTGCATCTTCTAGTCTTGGGGGGAGGTAGAGGGGAAGGAAAAGGGGGGAGGGGGGGCGCTTCTGTGGGTTTCAGAGGTGTATCTTCTGAATCAACACACACACACACACACACACACACACACTCCTGCTAAAGATTAGTTATGTTGCAGCTCAGGAGCATTGCGAGTCTAACTAAGCTGTCATCATTCGGCGCAATAAAAATCCCTATCAGAATGATCTATACCCTCACATCTGAGGGAAATGAGGGTCCTGCTGAGAAGAGCAACCGGTCTGACTGATGATGAGCTGATTCCAATTAAATCACTCTGATGTCTTCTTGTTGGCGGCCGCACGCTGCTTATACAAAGTAAGCTGATCATGTTGGGATGTGACAACTTATCAACAGGCAAGGCCAATCCAAGGCGCCCCTCCACCACCACCACCACCAAGCCTCTCCTTTACACTCCTGTAAGGAAGAAAATGTGTGCTATAGCAACCACTTCCACTGAAACCTCATTCTCTCAGTGCGTCAAGATGAGTAAGGTGCGCAATGTGCAAAGTCACCAATATTGCGCACATATTAGGACGATGACAGACAGAAGGGGAAGGAGGAAGATCTAGGAGAGGGGGAGAGGGTTTAGGATGCGCTGGTCAACATTACCTTAAAGAGGCGATGCGAGCGCCGGGGATTTAGGATGATGTCGATGACGCTGGCCCGTCCATCCACAGCACGATTCTTCTGCTCTTTATTATTTTTGTTGCTTTAGCTAGGCCATTTCCTCCTCAGATCGCCGTTATTTCTCAAGAGAGCAGCTGGCTTATACACCTTCTCCCGTCTTTCTCCGGCTTTTCCCAAAAAAGAGAGAAAACACACCTCATTCTGCACCCCCTCCGTCCTCCTCCTCCTCCTCCTCCACCACCTCCTCTTGCTCCTGTCGGTCCTCTCAGACTATACACACACCTCGGTCTGTTTTTTTTTTTTTCCCCCACCCCCCTATTTAACCACCGATATTTGACTTTTCTGAGACTAAAAAAAAATGCTGCAGAGAACCCAATTTCAACGGGGATCTGGACAGGGGGGGGGGGGGGTGGGGGGAGGAAGAAAGAGCGGGGGGGTTGGGGGGGGGGGGGGGTGGAAAAAAAAAGAGACTCGCAGGGAAACAGATGAGTAACGCAGTAGCGTCAAGACCCTGTGCGTTGCTTCAAAAGTGAACGCACTGATGTGTCCTCTTTTCCCCCATATGTCCACGCTGATTATAATCCAAGGTGGGATGCGCGCAGTCGCTGCGGCCCTTGGAGAGAGACAGAATGAGAGAGAAAAATAAAAGAAACAGCGGAGGGTTTCGTCCTGAAATATGAAAGAGCGCTCCAAGAGGTGTCCGATCTTCTTCTTCTTCTTCTTCTTTTACGCGCTTGCGTGATGTTCTCTCTCGGCTGGAATAACAAACAGAGCGGGCATCCTCCGCTTGGACCTCATGGTGTGTGTGTGAGAGAGAGAAAACGAGAGAGAGAGAGAACGAGAGAGAGAGAGAGAGAGAGAGAGGGGGGAGAGACAGGGGAGGCGCGATCAAACGTTTCGGGGGGAATCAGGCAGGCAAGTGATGTGAAGTCCGTCGATGCCCGCACCGGCGCAGATCTCCACGGCTCGTCGTTCTGAAGAGCCCACCTCTCCCCCTTCCGTCAGTGCGGTCTCATCGACTCCCTTCGCTTATAGGACACACGCGTGTAATATCTCAGCCTCACGGCTTACTGTGGGCTTCGTGATGACGAGGCGAGACGCATAACGCCATAGGCGCTGCTGCTTTTACCATATTTAAGTTTTTTTTTCAATCATCTGTTCTTATTTATATTTGGTTGCTTTGGATCGTCATATGTCAACCTGCTCAGTATTATTATTATTATTATTATTATTATTATCATCCTCAAACTGCAGTATATTCGTATTGCTATTATTTGAAAATATTAAAGCTCTGCTGCATCAACTGTAGCTATATTCATAATTATAATCATTTCTAGAGATAAATCTAACGCTCTTTCAACTATTTGGCCGCTTGAGGGCAGCAAAATCAAGCCGACGGCCGAGCCATCAGTCATCTTATCAATTGATTCTTTGATGACCCTCGAGTCCGATAATTGCTCTCGATTATATTCCGTTTGTTCTCCGGGGGCTCCCAAGGGAAATCTCTGTGCTTTTAGGGCCGTCAAATGATTTGTGTGTTTGTCCACCGCTGCTGCTCTTTAACAGTAGATTTGAAGAAAGCGGCTGCGTCGGCTAACCTTTTTGTCCAGTCACAGCCACAACTTTCAGTGTGTTTTTATTTTGGGGATATAGTTGAGGCAGCACAAGGTGGTGTATAATTTACAACGTTTTAAAACCATCTCTTTATGCTAGAAATCAGGAAAATATAAGGTGTCCATTCCGAACTCTGAACCGATACTTCAGGTCCACCTTGCGCAACACGTACAGGTAGATTTTAAGCAAGAAATTTTCAGATTTTCATTTGTTAAAAACAAGAAGAAGAAAAAAGAAAAGAAAAATGAAAATCTTGGATCATTTTCCCTTCACCTTATTATTTGCATCTAAAATCCAAATAAAATACATAGAGGTTAATATGACAAAACATGAGAAGGTTCAAAGGGCATGAACATTCTTGCTACACCTGTTTACATTTAAAGGTTGCAGGATGGTGTATATATTTCTTTTTTTGTAGTAGTAGTATTTTTTTCTTTTGTTTTGAATGTACACACCTACTTCTGAGCTCTTTTGGCCACCAGAAAATGAATGGGACAGATAGATAAAAAATCTCAGTTCCAAGGATGACTGACTCATTAGAGACATAGAATATAGATAATAAACTTTAATAAAGTCCGTGCAGACAAAACCGTGATCTAATGATGCTGGCCACTGGAGTCTCTGTGTTCCTCTGGTTTAGCAGGAAGGAGAACTGGACAAAAAAAAAAAAAAACAGAGACCACTCAAGACGGAAATCAGATATCCCATTTGGTCTGAGAGCAGTGCTGGTTGAATCAATAAAAAAATATATATGACCGAGGAGAAAAAAAAAAAAAAACTGAAGGCTTTTCACCATGATGGATGGATGGATAAATTTAGAAATAAAAAGCCTTCTTTTTTATTAAACCGCAGAAATATAAAATTGATATATTATGCAGTTCTTTTTGTTTGATTTTATTGTTGCTCTGTGCGTGTGTCCGCTGCAGGTACGGCACAGCGGAGACAAGCAAGGGAAAGAAACAACAGTATTCAGTCACTTCCAACTTGTCTCTCCAGCCATCTGAAATTAAACACAGGTTTCTTCTGTTTTTTTTTGTGTGTGACCTTAAGCTCAAGCGTGTACTATGAGCTTAAGGTCACCAACATTCTCTTTTGGGATTTTTTTCTCCTAGAGAGAAGGATTCATGGCTTCATCAATAATGGCAAGTCCTCCAGATTCTACGAACTCACTCGTGGAAGCCATCTTTACTCAGTCTCTTTCTCATACTGAATCCTGAACAGTGACATTTTAGGTCAGGACATGATGTGCTGCTTTCTGAGACCTCTTCTTGTTGTCAAACGGGTCATATTAATGTGATTTAAGAATAATACCAGTCTTGAAATAAACAGTGGCAGTTGAAATTGAATTCAGCTTATTCAGCCATGAGGACAGGAATACTTAATTTCATGATTTATTGGACAATTATGTCTTCAAATGCGACCAGGTTGGTTTGGGTAGCCAGTTTCCTTTTACAAATTAAATGCTTCTTTGCAAACTGCCTTTTGTGTTTACTTAAGTTATCTTTGCTTGAAATTTAAAAAAATAAATTAATTAATTAAAATCACGGCATGTAGGTGGGACAAATAAGCAAAAGCAGAAGAATCTCATAATTCGTAGCCCAGATGTTTTATCAAATTGTCAAATTGTTTTTCGTCACCTGACGAGACTCCATCAGGATTTTTATAAAGATGCAAATCGATAATGTCCATTGAAATTGGCAGAAGCGTTATAAAGTTCAAATTTGCAGTCGTAATTATAGTAATTTCTTTTCATGACAGTCAAACATTTGTTAATTTGAACAGTTTTCTAAGCACACGGCTAAATTGTAGTATTTGGGCAAAGAGGACAGGAGAGAATTGAACTGATTTGAATAAGCTTGGAAATCCCAGGTTGTGCAAATGCCCCGAAGAAGGGAAGTATTTTAAAGAAAGAGCCGGACACGGTGCTTCAGCTCCAGCGATTATTATTATCTGAGTTAGCTTACAAACATACACAATGATATCAACGTTGAAACAGTAGTACGTTAGCAACGGCGCTAACAACGGAGCTAACAACGGAATTTGTTAACATTCGGAGCGTCAAAAAAAAAACAAAAAACTCACAGCTTTCTGAAACTTAATAAACTC